ATTTTTCAGTAAATAATCGGAACGGAATGTCGAATAATATAACTTTTTGTGAAATTTCAGCCGAAATGTTTTTACCGGCCAATTGTTATATTTCCATCAGTTTTTCTTTTTTTTAACAGATCAACTCTGGTCTAATTTTTCCCATGCAAATGTAAATTTTATTTTTTGTAAATTTCGGTATCCGCTAAACTGTAAAATCTGTTGTAATTGTTTGTGTTTTTGTTGTAAAATTTCCCACTAGAAAAAAAGTAGCCACCATCCCTATATTCAATTAATGTTTGCAAATGTACGTAGAATAACAAATAAGGTAATAATTAATATTGACTTAAATAAATATTAAAAAAAACTGAAACGCAAGATATGAGTGTGAAAACTTAATATAAAATATGAAAGTTTGTTTGAAAAATTTGCACTTTTCTGTGTTAATAAGTCGAATTTTTGAATTCGAAACTAATTAAACTATTTTTAAATCAGTAAAATCATCGGAGACTTTTATTTGAAAAGTTCTTTAATTTTGGTTGTTAGCAAATGGTGATATGAGTGATTTTTTATTTGATGATGTATAGGTATAATGTAATTGTAACATGCGCAATTTTAATTAAATTTTAATTAAAACACCAATAGAGTATCTTCATTAAATGAAGATTTTATTGAATTTTAAACTTTGAGGAAGTTATGAAAGCTCCGTTACCGGCTTATTGTTTTTATTGTCAGGGAAAACTAAATTATAACAGTTTTAAAATTGTTTTAATCCCAGCAACTGCCGGAAAGGCAAAAATTAATACTATTGTTAATTACAGGTTAGTGTTGAAGAAATTGATAGCCGTAGATTATATGTATAAATAGCTCGAATGAAAGCTGTTATATTCTTGTTTACTAAACTGAAATTTAGTTGGAATAAATTTTAAGTGAACTTTCCAACAGTTTCCTGAAAGAATTTAAATTATTAAACAATGCATAATTTAATAAAAGTCTATAAAAGTTTATGAAATCCCAATGCTGTTTAGTCTTGAACAAAATTTCTGATTAAGCAGCGCAAAACCTCAGACCGACTTTGAATAATTACTTGAGCTCAGCTTGATGCAATTTTTTTTTATTTTAGATATAATAATCGGTTATTTGACTTGAATTACGTTGTAAAAAAAATGTGAGGCAATAGGTTCTTGTTAAAGTTGTTGTGATGAGGAATACAGGGCCAAAGCTGGATGATTATAGTTATAAGTAACATAAAAAAGAGGAAAAGAAAGGTTTAATAAATCCTGAGTGTTATTAACGTGAGCAATATGATTTTTGGGGCTTGTTTGTGGAATTTTATTTGAAGTTGCGTTGTTTGTACTAATTTAGTTGTAATATAAGAGTGTAGGTAATGCAGGTGGGAAATGGACTGTAACTGCGAGACCGTAATGATAATATGAAAGTATGAATGTCATGGAAGTGCGGGATGAGCTTTTGTATATTTGTTTATAAGTCGGGGCAATACTTGGCTGGCGGCGCTCTGACATACTTCTTAATGCTAGATTTTCAAAATTGCAGTCTTTCTAATTATCATCCATCCCCTTGTTACATTACCGAAAGCCTCAGGCGAAGGCTACATACAGTTAACGTGTGCCATCCAACCCTCTGTTTCTGTCGACTGACTTAGCTACGTTCAACCACAGAACGTTAAAAGGGAATTCTAAAGAGCGAGCTTTATACACGGTTCTAGTTCTCTACAGTCTTAATAGCTCTCATGATACTTTTTGTTCCACATATTATAAAGGGACCTCAAACTTAATGTGGTAATCCGATGGAAACATCTGGACTTTTATTTTTGCATATGTTCCTAATTTTTTTCTAAATTAGACTTAAATGTAAATTTGTAGGGGATTACAATTTTATCAGTTGCTGTTGCAATTTTATGATTGAGATAAAAGCAATGCTGCGCAAGTTTGAAATTGCATAAAGAAATACGAATGTATAAATTTTTGAGAGTATAATAAAAGTGCAAAGGTATGAATGGATCTATATCCTGGCAGACTACCGATGAATGAAAAACCGAAGAATGAATGAATCTTTTCGCTCTCTATTTATACTGAATCGAAATTTTTACACTGGCTGCGCACGGCGAACTATTTTTATTTGTGTTTACATGCATCAACAGATTCGGAATATATCCGATTAGAGGTTGTGTGGCATAACTCTTAGATGAAAATTTTTAACTTGCTCGGAGCTTAGAGTTAAATTAAATGCCAGTCGACTTTTTAATAAACCTTAAAACTCGATTCATTATTAATTATTAAATCACAACTTAGAGCTGAAATTCAGGTAAGATGTTCACAATTAAGCTGCAAGCTGCAAAATCTAGGCGGCTGGAGCAGACGAACTTGGCCCCTTTATATAAGTTTCAAGGTAATTAACCATCAGACCGACTCATTGTGTCAATGGCATCCTGTCATTTGAAAATTGCTGGATAAATGGATACAGTCGCGCAGGAAACTTTGCCAATCTGATAAAGTGTAGAGGTTTCCATTGTCTGATGCTGGTTGATTCCAGGATTTTGCAGTGTAATGCAGTGACGGCTCGTGTCTTGCCATAATGCGGCGAGACGCCAATGGAGATAAAACAACAAGCTAAGAAAAACACGCTTTCTTTCTGTCCAAGATTAATTAACCGTGGAAGCTGAAGCTCCGTCGATAATAATTAATGCTACAGCAACACTATAGCTCCATTGTATTTTGTTTATTTTTAACTTGCTTTTCATTATCACATGTTGTACAATAAAATGCAAATAAATGTGGTCACCACAGGAGAAGAAATTGTGTTCCAGTTAATAAAACAAATTCAATTTGCAAATTAAATCAAACAAATTATAACCGGTGATCGTTGAATTAACATCAAATCAATTACGTTTTTGCTTGTTAATTTTGAGATAAACTTTATTCGTAATTAATCCTTAAAGGAAATTGACTCGCTTTTTTGTGAATTTCTTAAAAGTGATTTCAATTGAGTAGTTTGTAGTGAATTATTATTGGATCTTAACTTATTGAAACAGTTTTTGATAGAAACTATATTTGCTTTTTAGTGTCAAGCACAACATAAAGCTATTAAATTTTTTTTTATTACATTTAAAATTCAGAATAACATATTGTTGGATTAAAAGTTCTTGCTTTGACATTCTGTTACAATGGAAACATTATTTTTAAACTTATAATGAAATAAACTGAAAATGTTATTTGGTATTAGTGAGATTATATAATCCACTAAAGCAGCTTGAACAGTCCAAGTAGGGTCTCCTAATATGATTATATTTATTTGGATGTGGAATCTCTGCGCTTTCCCATTTCATGTGGCAACAGATTTCCAACATTGGGCAAGTTTAATTTTAACAAATTGCTACAGTTATGTTGACACTAATATTTTAAAATATTAAACGGCATATGTGGTCCCAATAGCAAAGTTTTCAACAATTCCTTTTTTCCGATTTATAAAAAACTTTGAAACTATGTCGGCATTCCACCGATTGTTAGCAGAAAATCGATCGTTGCGGTTAAAGGCAAAATATTGTAATTATTTCCGGGGTTAATACTACTTTAATTCTTCTTTCATGTATAAAATGTTGCAAAAAACGTAGCCAGAACAAAAGTAATTTTCCGATTGGAAATTACAGGCATTATACGAGACAAAGGAAAACGTTTCTAAAGTCGATTTAATAATGGAATCCGTTATTTCTCTCGTTTATTTTTTTGTATAAGCTTAAAAAATTCTGGTGGCAATAGATATGACGTGGCTGAGTGACCAACACCGGCGTTGAATCACTGTCACTACGCTCGAGCAAAGATGCAAAGTACGATGGCCGCAATACAACCCCAACAACTCTCCAACGAGATGACCGGCCATTTGGCCGAAATGAGATCCATAACGTAGAAATGTAAACCCCCTCGTTCCGAGCATTTCCCACAGCGTAAGGTCTTTGTGCGGAACGATATAAGATGGCATTCCGCACTCTGTACTTCGCCACTACAGCTAAAACACAAGAAGCCGTTTGTCGACGAATTCACTTTATTCGCATAAAATTGCTGCCTTGCGACCGGACAAAATGTCTACAATGTCGTCAAATTAAAATCTTAATCAACCCCATCCATTCGGCCAACTCTAATCATTCCGCTCTAAATGTAAAAATTCCACTACTGAAGCCATCCAAACGCAACTTCTTTACGATCTCAACAATTACGACACACCCACCAGAAACTGGGAAACTAATCCTCGCTGTTGCAAATTTAGTCAGTTTTAAAACCAGTGCTAAAATTGTAATACAACTAATTGTAATGATTATAGCTGGCTTTCGGGAAAATTCAGGTGGTGAAACGTCTACAAAATACATTACGTTATTATATTATAATGCCATACTTTTTTATATCGGCGGTATTATTGACAGTTTATGAACAAATTTTCATCCTAAAAAGATAATTTTTGATTGATAGCAAAGTTAGTTTATTAAGCACCTCTACAATTAGCAAAAGTTGAAGTTATCTTCGGTATATAAATTTATCTAAAAATTGAAGTAGCGTTTTAGTTCTGCATGGGTAACAGTAATTTTCCTCGGTAGTAGTTCCGAGAGCCGTCGTCGAACGACCCATAAATCAGTGTTTTGCCGTATCAAAAATTTATACAAAAGATTTATAAGGGTCCATGAAACTGACGGTCGCCAAAGTTAGATTAGAATATAAAAAAAAAACAACAATTATGTTAGGTGTTATGATTTCCCAGTTGGCTGTGTATGCAGTATAGGTGTGGCCCTGATTATGGAGCGTAAATATAGTCACGAACAACCATTAAGGTAGGGGTTTATGTATTTTTAAACAATCCTCTCTTGCTTCATTCCTTTCTTGCTTAGCAAGTCAGGTGATTCGCACAGGTCGTAATATTTTTACGACTTGAAAAATTGACACTTAAACAATTAATAAAAAAACAATTTGCGCTCACAAACATGCATTTTGTAACACTCAAATCAATAAACTTACCGCCTTTTTAATAAATGAAACGAACCCATATCCTTTTGATTTTAGAGTTTGTGGATCTCTCACAACTCGGCAGTCCCTGTAAAACATTAATTAATAGAATAACTAATTCACAGCAACTCCGAAACTTCTTTTGACACAATTTTATTCCTCACTGTTAATAAAAGAACAAACAGAATTTCAGTAGAGTTTCATAAAATTTTAATATTTTTTGTAATAGAAAAACAATGCATTTAACTGTGCATTGTATTGTTATTTTGTTTGTCAACCGATCAAATGTAGGTTTTAATTTTATTTGTACAGTTTGTATTTACTTTCCACGGGTTATTGTTAATGTCATATTGGTGAAAATGAGCGTAAAGAGGTCTAGAATGTCCAAAAAGATAAATAAACGTATCTTGTAATGGCACCTCGGAAGTTGCAGTGCAATTAAGTTTTATTGAAATAGATTTTTTTTTCAGATGCTCAAAGCCATATTATTTGATGTTATCATTGTTTCAGGAGGTTGAATGTGTTCCAAACGTATGCTTTTGATAAATCGATAAAACTACCTCGCTATAAAATTGAATTTTTATTGTTAATACAAAAACATGATAATTTGGTTTTGTGTTCGTCGAAGGTATTGTTTTTTTTTT